CAATTCAGAATGTTTCCAATTTGGGAAGAGAATACTGTGCATGCATCATTATTTTGTGATACCACCCGTAGATTCTAATAATAAATGTTAAAATCAAACACAGTAATATTTTGGCAAGAAAATGTATGAATATTCATACCAAGTGAGATAAACACATATTTTTAAATAGCCACATGTCAATCCAGGTCATATTTTGCTACAAAATGAGTTTGCAGAAACTCTATAAAATATCTTTCATTGATTTTGGGGTTTTAGGATTGTAGCTAAGGAATTGTTGACTTACATTCCATTGTGGGGTTGGACAATAATGTGCTTGTCCATTCCAACATTGATGGACATTTGAGTTCATTGCCAGGCTTTTGCCATTTTTTTCACAAAATTATTTATCATATCAAGTGAAACTCCTATTCTCATTAACAAATGAAAAAATGACATTTGAATAAATGCGGCCTGGCATTATCTATTGTTCATTTCTTCTTTAAAAATTTTTTCCACATGCAAATTGGAGAAACATTTTAGACCACCATCCTTTAAAGAGAACATCTCCACAATAACAATCGTTTATCATTTATTTGTTTTATTATTAACATTTTAGTGAAAGCTCAAGCTTTATTATTTCAACAAAGATGGCTAGAGAACTGGGATTTTGTTCTCTATTTCTTTTATATCAAGTTAGATTATTTTCATAGATGAGAAAATAAATGAAGCCAGAACATCGTTTTACTCCATTTTGAACTGCTGCACTCATGAACGTTCTTGTACAATCTCCTGGTGTCCCTGTTCAAGTTTCTCTAGGGTATGTGCCAAGGAGTAGAATTGTTTGCAAGGTCATTGGTGAATGTATTAGTTCGGGTCTTCTGAGAGGCAGATGCCAAAACGGGATTTGGTGTTTAAGAGATTTATTGAGGAGGGAGCAGGAGAAATCAGGGAGAACGTTCAAACTGAAATGCACGTCTGAGACCTGTGGAAGAAAAGAGGGAAGGAAGGAGGAATGGGGTAGAAAGAGTCTCTAACTACAGCAAAATGTCAAGAAAGTTTGACCAAGCCAATGGGGAAGGGGAGTCCTAGAACCAAAGCTGTCCATCAGAAGAGTCCTGTTTTTCTCTGAAAATAGTACCCTTGTCATGCTTAATCATTGGCTAGGAGAGGCCTGTATAAGCATGGTCTTTGTACAAACCTGGTGGTGGATCGGGAGGGGCAGTAGCTGGGGCCATTGGTCAGTCATGCCCCCACCACAGGAGATCTGAGTGGTGCGTTTTCATGATCACCACAGTCTAAACTTTGTGTTACACAGGCCCAATTTGCTACACAGGTATGGAAAAGACTTCCTCCATGGATTCCATAGGCCTTTTTTCCTCAGGGAATCTTAGAAGAGGGAGGTTAGTGGGATCAATCTCCTTTGCTATAGTTGGTCTTGAAGTTGCAATTAGTACTCATCCTCACTCTTCTCCACTATCCATTCTAAAGTCCTCTCACCCTCAGCTATCACATCTTGGGTCTATATGTACTCCTCCCTGTCCTCATTAAATGAAAGCAACTTTAACTTGAGAATTGAATTAGGCCTTAAAAATGGATTCCTGGAATTGATGACCAAATATCTCTCCTGATTGATTCACTCCCATTTGCCCTTATTTCTTCTAAAAACTCAATTTATCTGCCTCAAGTTATAAAGTTCCAAATACTGTCACAATCGTAATAACTAACCTTTATCAAGCACTTACAATGGGCCAGGTAACGTGCTACTTGCTTTACACAGATAATCAACTCATTTAATTTTCACAAAACTCCAAAGGCTGGCGACTATATAGGCCATTCTATTGATGAGTGAAATGAGGTTTAGTAAAAATAAGTATGAGAACCAAGCTTTGAATCCAAAACCATTGTTCTCCTTCGTTACTTCTCTACACTATGTCATAGCTGTCACTGGCTCTCCTTGAATAAGTTATGAGCTCACTAGGTAACAATTTTTATCCTATTGGTGAGGCTGTCCCATCCTTTTGCACCTTGCTTTGGGGCAAACTCTTGGGAAAACTGCTCGGTTAAGATCCATTTAATTTTTTTTTCTTCAGTTTTATGGAGTTATAGTTGACAAATAAAACTGTATGTATTTAAAGTGTAAAACATAATGATTTGATATGCATACACTTTGTGAAATGACGACCATGATCAGGTTAATTAACACATCTATCACCTCCCATAGATACCATTTTTCTTTTGTGGCGAGAATGCTTAAGATTTACTCTCTTAGCAAATTTCAAGTATACAATACAGTATTATTAACTACAGTCACCAAGCTGTACTTTAGATCCCCAGAACTTATTCATCTTATAACTGAAAGCTTGTATCCCTTAGAAGGTTCATTGTAGTATAAGCCCTGACAGCTGGCTTTTCTTTTTGTAATGCAAGTGACTGACTTAAAGCCTTGATTGCAGAGGCATCCACTTCAAAGAGGCATCCACTTCAGAGATGGGTATCTGGAATAAACACATTGCCAGTCACAGGACTAGACAAAAAGCAGGCCGCCTCCCACCCCTAAGACTCATTTGTTTGAGAGATCTTGGTTGATTTCAATAACTGATAGTTTGGACCACTTGTTTTTTTTCTCGTCCTGTGCTTTAAATTCCACTCATATTTTAAATTCACCTTCAAAACTCTAGGCCCCCACCTTTCACCTCTGTAAAAGCAGAACCCCAGGTCTGCGTATGCTCTTCCTCTCTCTCACTATAATCTTGCTGTGTGGTCCCCGGTGTGCCATGTGCACTCCAGGACCTCTGAGTAATAAACCTTTTTTTCCCTAAAGTTTCCTGATGATTATTGCTGAGGGCATCTTGCAATCATAACAAGAACCACAAAGGCCCATTCAGTCATAACGCTGGTTATCAACGGGCTGAGATGGTGCACGGCATTCATTTAATCGTCTGCTACATCTTTTCTTTTACTCTTAAGGAAGGTTGCTACTTTTTTCATCCAATCCCTTTAGTTCACCCTGGGTAAAGTTATATTTTTCCCCCAACTTTTCTTCATTTGTCTCCTTCACATCCCAAAGCCACAGTTTATACCCAGATGTTTGAAGTGTGGGACATCATTCCTCATGGATTTTTTGGTTGGATAGTGAAATTATTTCAAAGTTAGTGGAAATGAAGGTGGGATGGAGGAGGCAGGCTCAGTGGTATTTTGTTATTGTGGACATTGGGGAGGGCTTCTCTGCACCCCCGGAATTCCTAAGAAAATTGACAACGCAGTGATAATGTCCTAAAGGCAGAAGAATTTATAGTGAATTTCAGGAAACACTTGGACTGAACTCAGCAGGAGGATGTATGACAATATGACAATCTCCCACCCCATCACAACACTTGAAATGTTATTTAAGAAATGACCATATAATCATTTGATTCACGTTTTCATATAATTTTGTTGTGTCAGTGGAAGTAATCCATAACTAATCTATAAATGGAAATTGGGGTGAGTTTATTCTGAGCCAGATTTGAGGACTAGCTTAGCCCAGGGCCTTCCTTCCTCAAGGAAGGAAGGGCACCAAAGAAGTCAGGTGTACAGAGTGGTCATATACTCTCAAAGAGAACGTTTCACATATGATTGAAATGTCCCTGTTACAATAGTCACAAGATTGCTCTGTTGGCACAGGGATTGATGGACACAGCAGGTAGTAGGTCTGCTGTCTTGGTGGACACAGCAGGGTAGCAGGTCTGTTGTCTTGAGCTAGGTGGTCATAGGGTGGGCAAGCAATCAATTCCTAACCTAGGGAGAGAGGCTTGTGCTTAAGAAAATGCCAGTGTGGGGGAAGTTGCATCTTTATCTTAAGGCCGTTTGTTCTTCTCTTTAGGACATAGAAAATGCTTAAAGCAGATATACCATACATGCTCAATGGCCACGTCAGGCCCTTTTGGAAAAACAAGGTCAGGCTAAATTAGATTTACTCCAAATGGCTTCCTCATATACTCCAATATATCTTATTGCTTGCCATTTGTTTGTCAGTTGTAATGGTTGAAATTTATTAAGGGCTTGCTAAGTGCAAGATACTGTTCCAAATACTTAAAACATATAAGTCTTAGAACACTTATTATATTATTAAATCCTCACAGCAATCCACCTTTCATATGAAAAACTGAGGTACAGAGAGATTAATGTACTTGCCCAAGATCATGAGTTGGTAAATGGCGAATCTTCGCTTCCGGTCCAAGCAGTATAATTTCAGAATGAGGGAACTGAAGCTCAGAGGGGTTAAGTAGCTAATTCAAAGTCACTAAATGGTAGATTTGGATTTTTTCTATTTGACACTCATAACCATGTGGTAAGATTATTTATTGTATCTATTACATAGACAAGAAAAGAGAGGTTTAGAGAGAATTAGTGACTTTATCATGGTCACACAATTTGTAAGACTGAGTTGTAACTTAAGTTTTTGACTCAGAATCTTAGGATCTTATTACTATGCTGGTATAGCTGCTTCCTCCGACAAATATGTAAACAGCTTTGGAGAAGTTATGAGCTGTTCTAAAGGTAACAATAAAATCCACTAGACAGACCCAAGGGGTCTATGCATAAGATTAATAAGTCATACGATGAGAACATTGACTTACTGAGGCTTTATGTGGGCTGACCCACACAACAAGAGGATTCAAAAAACATTGTTACAAAAGCTTTTTCTCGCTTTTCATCAGGACACCTATTGCACAACACTGGTCATGTATGTGACACACATACATCTGTGCCAGAGATTGCAAAAGGAAAAGAAGGAAACTATGTGTGTGGTGCAGTAACATGTCAATATTCATGTCTCATTTTATTTTTTTTTATCAAAAAGTATATAACCTTCTATTGTTGTTGTCTCATCTCCCTTTCTGAACTGTAATTAATTTTGAAGACGGGAGCTATGAGTGGTATATCTTTCCAATATTTTCATAATTGAGTGCAGTCCCTGAGGTGGTTCATGAGTTCTTATAGAATGAAAGAATGCTGAGAAGTACTATATATGGTTTATGCTATTCTGCCTTCCTCATCAGCTTTTTCAAGGCATGCTTCATGTCTTTGTTCCTAAGGCTGTAGATAAAAGGGTTCAGCATGGGGGTAACTACTGCATAGATGACAGTGACCACACGATCCTTTGTCACTGAGTAGGTGGATGAGGGGCGAATGTACACGGATATTATGGTCCCATAGAATAGTGCCACAACTATGAGGTGGGATCCACAAGTGGAGAAAACCTTGTATCTGCCTCCCCCTGAAGGGACCCTCAGAACAGCACGGGTGATGTAGACATAAGAGACAATGATGAAAATAAAGGGAGTCATGATCACAAAGGAGCCCTCTGTGAAGGCCAAAAGCTCATTGACAGAGGTGTCAGAGCAGGAGAGGGTTAGCAGTGGCTGGACATCGCAAAAGAAGTGGTGGATAGTGTTGGGCCCACAGAAGGAGAGGCGGGCCATAAGAACAGTGTGGGTGAGTGAGTGGAGGTGGGACACCACCCAGGATGCTATCACCAGCAGGAGACAATGCCTGGGGTTCATGGTTGTGGTGTAATGCAGTGGGTTACAAATGGCCATGTAGCGGTCGATGGCCATGGCAGCCAAAAGGAAGCTATCAGTGATCCCAAAGGCCACGAAGAAATACATCTGGGTGAGGCAATGGGCAAAGAGGATGGTCTTTCTCTTAGTCAGCATGTTCACTAACATTCGCGGAACGATAACAGTTGTAAAGCAGATGTCCACCAGGGACAGATTGGAGAGGAAGAAGTACATGGGGGTGTGGAGATGGGCATCTCCCCAGATGGCTGCAATGATGACTGAGTTGCCAGCAACATTGACCAGGTACATGGCCAAGAAGCTGGCAAAGAGCCACACCTGCTGTTTGGGGTCACAAGTCAGTCCTAGAAGGAGGAATTCAGTCACATGGCTTTTGTTTCCCCTCAGCATTGATTTCCTGCAAGTAAAAATATGAAGAAATTTTAGGTGTGTGTCCTGGCTTGGAGTCTTCAATCTGACAGAGAGGATTTCTTGTAACTTATTTCAGCTTGTGATTGTACAAGGGGAGTCATTCATATAGATCACCATATACTCTAAGATATAGAATTGGTGTTGACACATTTTGATTTCAATTCCAACTTTGCCTCTGACTAATTTTGTGAACTTGAACAAGGTACTTCATCTCTTGTTCCTTATTCAAAGACAAGACTTATAATACCCATGTTCTTCAGCTATTCTGAGGATAGATGGTAAAGATCTCAGGAAAAGTGTGCAAAAGTAATCATTTTGCTCAACTTTCCAGTTTATGTCTAAAACACATCATTTTGCTCTGCCTGGTCTCAGTTACCAATAGGCCTGCTAACTTCCAGTTGCTTCCATCTGATGCTTCTGGCCAGGACTACTTTTTTTTTTTTTTTTTTTTTAAATATTGAAGTAGTTTAACGTAACCATAATTTGGGGGGAAGAGGATTGACTCTTTCAGCAAAGGATTTTCAAAACTGCAACCCTTTCCACAGTCTTGGGTTTTTTTGTTTTGTTTTGTTTGTTTTGTTTTTTTTAAAAATTATTTTGTTGAGGTCATAATGGTTTATAACATTGTGTAATTTCAGGTGTACATTATTATATATCAGTTTCTGTATAGACCACATTGTGCTCACCGTCAATAGTCTAGTTTTTATCTGTCTCCATACATTGATGTCCATTTACCCTTTTCATCTACCTCTCCACCCCCTTCCCCTCCTGTAACCACTAATCTGTTCTCTTTATCCATGTGTGTGCTTATCTTGAACATATGAGTGAAATCATATGGTATTTGTCTTTTCTGTCCGGCTTATTTTGTTTAACATAATACCCTCAAGGTCCACCCATGTTGTTGCAAATGGGATGATTTTGTTTTTTCTAATGGCTGAGTAGTATTCTGTTGTATATATATATACTACATCTTTATCCATTCATCAGTTGATGGGCACTTGGGTTGCTTCCACATCTTGGCTATTGTGAATAATGCTGCAATGAACAGGGGAGCATAAATCTCTTTAAATTGTTTATTTCATGTTCTTTGGATAAATACTCAGTAGTGGGATAGCTAGATCATATGATATTTCTATTTTTAATTTTTTGAGAAATCTCCCTACTATTTTCCATAGTGGTTGCACCAGTTTGCATTCCCACCAGCATGATATGAGGGTTCCCTTTTCTCCACATCCTCTCCAAAACTTGTTATTTTTTGTCTTGTTAACTACAGCCATCTGACAGATGCAAGGTGATACCTCATTGTAGTTTTGATTTGCATTTCCCTAATAGTGATGTTAACATCTTTTCATGTGCCTGTTGTCCGTCTGTATATCTTCTTTGGAAAAATGTCTGTTTGTATCCTCTGCCCATTTTTTGTTTGGGTGGTTTTCTGTTGTTGTTGTTGTTGAGTTGTGTGACTTCTTTACATATTTTGGAAATTAACCCCTTGTTGGATATATGATTTACAAATATTTTCTCCCAATTGGTGAGTTGTCTTTTCATTTCATTGGTGGTTTCCTTTGCCTTGCAGATTTTACTCTGATGTTGTCCCATTTGTTAATTTTTTTCTTTTGTTTCCCTTGCCTGAGTAGACATGGTATTTGAAAAGATGCTGCTAAGACCAATGCCAGAGGGTACTGTCTATATTTTCTTCTAGGAGTTTTATGTTTTCAGGCCTTACATTCAAGTCTTTAATCTATTTTTGAGTTAATTTTTGTGTATTGTGTAAGAAAATGGTCTACTTTCATTCTTTTGCATGTGGCTGTCCAGTTTCCCCAAAACCATTTATTGAAGAGATTTTCCTTTCTCCAGTGTACGTTCCTGGCTCCTTTGTCAAAGATTAGTTATCCATAGATGTGTGGTTTTATTTCTGGGCTTTCAATTCTATTCCCTTGATCTGTGTGCCTGCTTTTTGTGCCAGTACCGTGATGTTTTGATTACTATAGTTTTGTCGTATATTTTGAAGACAGGGGTTGTGATGCCTCCAGCTTTGTTCTTTTTTCTCAGGATTGCTTTGGCTACTCAGGGTCTTTTGTTGCCCATATGAATTTTAGGATTCTTTGTTATATTTCCATGAAGAATATCGTTGGGATGCTGTTTAGGATTGTATTGATGCTGTAGATTGCTTTAGGACCTTTAGGACCTAAAATATGGACATTTTAACTATGTTTATTCTTCTAATTCATGAGCACAGCATTAATTTCCATTTCTATATGTCTTCTTCAATTTCTTTCAATAATGTCCTATAGTTTTCCGTGTATAGGTCTTTCACCTCTTTGGTTAAATTTATTCCTAGATATTTTATCCTTTTTGCTGCAATTGTAAATGGGATTGCATTTTTGACTGCTCTTTCTGCTAATTTGTTATTAATGTGTAGAAGTGCTACTGATTTTTGTAGGTTGATTTCGTACCCTGCAATTTTGCTGTAGTTGTTGATTATTTCTAATAGTTTTCTGGTGGATTCTTTAGGGTTTTCTATATATAGAATAATGTCATCTGCAAACAGTGAGAGTTTTACTTCTATCTTTCCAATTTGGATTCCTTTTATTTCTTTTTCTTGCCTAATTGCTCTGACCCAAACCTCCAGTACTATGTTGCATAAGAGTGGCAAAAGTGGGCGACGTTGTCTTTTTCGTGTTCTCAGAGGAATGGCTTTCAGTTTTTCCCCACTGAATATGATTTTGGCTGTGTTTTTGTCATATATGGCCCTTATTATGTTGAGGTACTTTCTATCTATGCCCATTTTATTAAGAATTTTTATCATAAATGGATGTTGGACCTTGTCAAATACTTTCTCTGCATCTATTGAGATGATCATGTGATTTTTATTCCTCATTTTTTAATGTGGTGTATCACATTGATTGGTTTGTGGATGTTGAACCATCCCTGCATTCCTGGTATAAATCCCACTTGGTCATGGTGTATGATCCTGTTAATGTATTGCTGTATTCAATTCGCCAATATTTTGTTGAGAATTTTTACATCTATGTTCATCAGTGATATTGGACTGTAATTTTCCTTCTTTATGTTGTCCTTGTCTGGTTTTGGTATCAGGGTAATGTTGACCTCGTAGAATGAGTTAGGAAGCATTCTGTCTTCTTCAATTTTTTGGAATAGTTTGAGAAGGATAGGGATTAACTCTTTTTTGAATGTTTGGTGGAGTTCTCCAGAGAAGCCATCTGGTCCTGAACTTTTGTTTTTTGGGACGTTTTTGATTGCTATTTCTATCTCTTTACTTGTGATTGGTCTATTCAGATTTTCTATTTCTTATTGATTCAGTTTTGGGATGTTGTATGAGTCTAAGAATTTATCCATTTCTTCTGGGTTATCCAATTTGTTGGTGTATAGTTTTTCATAGTATTCTCTTATAATCCTTCGTATTTCTCTGGTATCCACTGTACTTTCTCCTCTTTCATTTCTAATTTTATTTATTTGTGCCTTCTCTCTTCTTTTCTTAGTGAATCTGGGTAAGGGTTTGTCAATTTTGTTTATTTTCTCAAAGAACGAGCTTTTAGTTTCATTGATCCTTTCTATTTTTTTTGTAGTCTCTATTCCATTTATTTCTGATCGAATTTTTATTATTTCCCTCCTTCTGCTGACTTTGGATTTTGTTTGTTTTTCTTTTTCTAATTCTCTTAGGTATAGTTAAAGATTATTTGTTGGAGATTTTTCCTGTTTGTTGAGATAGGCCTGTATTGCTATAAATTTCCCTCTTAGTATAGTTTTTGCTGCCTCCCATAAGAGTTGATATGTTGTGTCTGGGAAGGTGATGATGTAGGAGGACTCTGAACTCACTTACTCCCACAGATACAACAAATTTACAACTAGCACTGGAACAATTACCCCTGAGAGAGAACTGGAAACTGGATAAAAAGAACCCCCACAAGAAAGGACAGTGCTGGGGTTGAAGAGGCAGAATTTCCTTCCTGGAGACAAAAAAGCCACACTCTAGCCACAGTGTTTCATGGCCAGGAGCAATCTTAAGGTATGAAGCTTTCCCAGGAGGAGCAGAGGATCTGAGCAGGAGAGCTCTGCCACAATAAGCAGGTTTTGAACTCTGCACAACTGAGATGAGTGTCATAATATCTGGCTTTGCTGGCTATTAAATACAATGAGGAATGCCCCCAGAAAAGCTATTGAGCATAAGGAAAGAAAAGCCTGCTCTTAAAGGGATCAGGCACAATTTCACATGTTTTGGAAATCAACCTAAGGTCACCATAAAGAAAGATGCAGAGTCCTTTGGTGAAAAGAGACTCACTTTATAGGCTCTGGGTGAATTTCAGTGAGGCAGGAGGTCTGGGACCACCTCCTCAGGGACTGAGACATTGGTAGCAGCCATTATTGTGACCTAGTACAGGTGTGCTGACACAGATGCTGGCAGAGGCCATTGGAGTTCTTCCCCTGGCCTGTTAGAGCAGGGGTCTGCACCATCCACTACAACACTGATCTAATCCAACTCAGCTAGGGTAGGCTGCCTGCCCTAGGGACTGGCTGCACCCACCAGCAAGCCCTTGGGCAACTTGTGACTTCTCAGCAGAAACCTTACAGGTTAGAAGGGAGTGGCATGATATATTTAAAGTGCTGAAAGGAAACAACCTACAGCCAAGAATACACTACCCATCAAGGTTATCATCCAGAATGGAAGGAGAGATAAAGAGTATTCCAGACAAGCAAAAATTAAAGGAGTTTATCACCTATAAACCAGCCTTACAATAAAGCTAAAGGGACTTCTTTAAGTGGAAAAGAAAATACCACAAATAGGAATAAGAAAATTATCAAAAAAATAATAAAATAACTGGTAAATCAAATATACAGTAAAGGTAGCAGATCAACTACCTATGAAGCTAATATGAAGGTCAAAAGACAAAAGTACAAAAATTATCAATTTCCAAGAAAAGAGCTTAACAGATGCACACAAAAGCAAAAAAGAGGTTAAA